TACACTTTACCTCCACTTTATCAGTCCAGGGTCTCGATATGTCGGCCACCGCATAAAACACACATCTCCATTCGACTCGACACAGACCGTGTCGTGTTATTCTCGACGTAAAATCATATCCTCTGTCTCGATGGAATAGGTGTTCGGCCGGCCTACCTGTGGCACACTATGGAATGAACCAGTTGTATGTAACCAATTCACAAGTGCCGCGAATCACCGGTAAAAAGGAAGACGTCGATGGTTTTCAGATCTTCCTGACACGTGGCGCTCGTCATAACGCCGCCGAGCCGCAGCAAGATTACCGTCACAAGCACCGCCACACATTATTATCAATTCATTGCACTGACCGCACACAAACATAACACACAGGTAAACAGAACGAGAATGAAAAACAAACCAAAAGTCCCGAAAGAACGAAAACGTAAGTTGACCTTCTAAATTCTGAAAACTCACAAGTACGCCGATAAAAGTCACGGACGCGTCTGACGCGATGACCAAAACTACATAGGTTATTATTATTGCAACTCGAACACCAATGTACCTAAATCAAAAGTGCACCGATTGAGGGTTCCGCGTCATCAAATTCTGTGTTACGTAACCTACCTAACAAAAAATCGTTATTTTTTTATTGAATTAAACAATGAAAATTCAAAGTAACTTATCATACTATTTTTTACTGACGAAATTGATAATTAGGCTATTTACTTATTATTACAATTTTATTTACGCTTTTCACGGTTACAAAAGAAAAAAAGCCATAATATTAAAAGTGGTTACCTAATTTAAGACCAAGTTATTAACAAAATTATAAGGCATAAAAAAATTATTGATTAAATTAGAAAAGAAAAGAAATATTATTTATTATTAGGCCTTTCCATTACAACTAACCTTTATTTAATTATCATTTAAACTAAGAATAAGCGAGATACTTAGATTATTAATATCATTGTATAAGTCCGTATTTTATTGTTTCGTGAAAATAACACGGCTTTATGAAAAAAATAACAAAACTTCAAAGCAAATAATCTACAGAACCTTACTGACACATCAGAAACCCGAGTTTCTCAATACACATCGTCGTCGATTTTATGTCTCTGTCGCTCCTTCTTGCATAGACTAATGTGAGCAATGGTGCAGATATTGAACTTCAATCAAAGTATTTGCAATTTCTTTTTTATTTTGACTGTATTATTAGAGAAGTTTTCTTAATAATAGTTTTTGAAACACCGTTAAACACAAGATTAGTGTTTTTTTATGGTTAAAAGTCATTTTACTACTAACTTTTTCTTTGTTTGGAAATAATAAGTTACTCTCGGATGCATATTTATTCTAGGCATTTATCTTTAGATTTATTTAACTTCTGTTATTATTTAAACTAGTTCGGCACATGGAGTCGATGACCAAATACAACACAACAGCTGTTTTTAGGGGTTGTCAGTGTACAGTATATATTTATTTGTTATTTTTTATACTCAATATTTTATATTCATTTGGATGTCTTTTCTCAATACTAGTAGTGAATCTGAAAGTTTTGCTTCTCTAAGTTGCACTGATAATGAGGATAGCTTCGTCAGTATTCCTAACCTCGCTGATTCTCTTGTGTCTTGTTTTTCCGATGTTCCCAATAATTTAAATGTTGTCCACATAAATGCACAAAGCATTCCAGCTCATTTTTCAGATATGCTGACGAACCTGGACTGTAAGGATATTCATGCCATACTTGTCTCCGAATCATGGCTTAAACCATGTCTTCCTTCTACTTCTTATTCTTTGCCCGGTTTCAATCTCATCAGGAATGATCGGGCATCTGGTGGTGGCGGTGGTGTCGCTATTTATTTACGTTCACATATGCCCTTTTCAATTGTTGACGTATCACCACAGCCTCCGCAAACGAATGCCGGTGAGCACCTATTCCTAGAAGTAAAACTGCGACACACAGTACTTCTCCTTGGTGTGTACTATTCCCCGTCATCGCGTAGTCAAAGTCAAAGTCAAAGTATTTATTTGCTAAGAATAGGTATTACAAGATCTTAAAAACTATTACTATCGCTATTCAGTTAATAATAATTAACAAGCAAAATTATCTGTTTTAAGGAATGTGTTTATATTATAATAACATTTTTTCACGAGCCATTCTCGCAGTCTTTTTGTCATTAAGCTCTCAGATCCATTCTTATATTGTTCAGGAATCTTATTATAAACCTTGACGCACATGCAATAACAACTTTTTTGACTTAATGAAGTCTTTGGTTTGTATTCCAAAACAAGTCTGTCACTATCTCTAGTGTTTCTAGGGTACATGTCTTTGGCTCTTTTAAATAAATCGGGGTGTTGCTTTACAAATTTAAAAATTTCTAAAATGTACATACTGGGCAGGGTTAATACACCCAATTTTTGAAACAGTGGTTTACATGTATCAAATGGACCTTTACCACATATAGCTCTTATGCATTTCTTTTGGGAAATAAACACTTTATTTGCATCTGTACTATTGCCCCACAGAAGGAGTCCATAAGATATATTTGATGCGACATAACCATAATAAGCAGACAATGCCACCTTAAGAGACACTTTTAAAGTTAACCGTCTTAGCACATAAACGTACCTATTTATTTTATTACAGACCCTCTGAACATGGGTAGTGAAGTTCAGGTTTTCATTTAATAATATTCCCAAAAATGTCACACTGTCAGATCTTTCAATGATTCTGTCGTTATGCTTCACATTGAGATTATAAGCTAAGCGTCCTTTTATCTTAAAATTAACATAATTAGTTTTACATAAATTAACATTCAAATTATGGGCATTAAGATATTGAATTATATTATTGATTGTTTCATTAATGTCATTTTCATAATACTCTAAGTCGTCAAAAGGATTAGATTTAATAATAATAGAAATATCATCAGCAAACATAAAACATTGGTTCTTAGTCACTTTTGGCAAGTCATTGACATAAAACAAAAACAATATCGGTCCCAGTACGCTCCCCTGTGGTACTCCGAATTTATTAATTTTATAATTTGATCGATCTGCTACAGCCACATATTCATCGTTCACCTGTCTTACTCTATTAACTTCCACGCATTGACACCTATCATTCAGATATGTTTTCAACCACGACAGACAGTTTCCACGGATTCCATACTTTTCCAGCTTGTCCAATAATACATCATGCACTACAAAATCGAATGCCTTGGACATATCGAAAAACAGCACTGTAGTACGCTCTTTTTTATCTAGAGACGAGATAACATTTTTGACTAAATTAAAGCACGCAAGAGAAGTTGATTTTCCTTTCTGAAAGCCATATTGTTCTGATGTTATTAAGTTGAACTTCGAATAAAAACTCACTAATCTTTTTTTCATAGCCTTCTCGAATATTTTTGATATTACAGGTATTAATGTAACCGGGCGATAGTTCTCCACAGTTTGCTTATCTTTTTTTTTATAGATGGGTTTAACAATCGAGAATTTGAGAGCATCAGGGAAGCACCCGGTTTCGAATGATAAATTTATCAAAAACGTTAAAATATGTGTTAACTCATATTTACAGAATTTTAGAACCTTCGTTGATATTTCATCATATCCGCAAGAATTTGAGTTATTCAAAGACTGTATAATGTTGAGAAGTTCCCCTTCCGTTACCGGCTCCAAAAACATCGATTTAGAGTTGTGATCAACAATGTACAGTGTCTGCTGTTTTTTATCGCTATCATATTTGTAACTATCACCAGCCAAAGTAACGTAATAATCATTGAATATCTCAGCCATCTCCTTACCATCAAGAACAAGATTACCATTATGCTTTATACCAGTACTGTAAGATTTTGGGATTTCCGGTTCTGTTTCATGCCTAATAAGTTTCCATGATGCTTTACAAACATTCTGACTGCATTGAAGATACTTGTCATTACAATTTTTTTGAGCTGTTGATATGCATTTTTTGAGCATACGTGAGTATCGTGTATAAGCCTGTTTATTATCACTTGTTTTATGTTTATAATATTTAAATCGAAGCCGTCTTTTGACTTTTAAACTAACCTTTAAACCCCTAGAAATCCACTTTGGTTTTATAATTCTATTGTTAATCTTAATTTTAATCTTTGGAAAACAAGATTCGTAGAGCACACAAAATAGCTCGTAGAAAATATTAAATGCCTTATTTATGTTCGATGTATTGTAAACATCTGAAAATGACAATGATTGCAAGTACTTCCGGAACCTTATTAGGTTTTCATTACAATAATCTCTTCTATAAGTAGCCCAGCATGTGACTCTTTTTTCTTTTTTAATAGGAAATGATATTATTTGAGCGGTGTCGTGATCCGACAGGTAAAGAGGCAACGTCGTAGCCGTAGCCAAGTTTATATTACTTAAGATATTGTCAATGCAGTTGTCACCTCTGGTTGGTGCATTAATATGAATAATCAAATCAAAATATTTGGCTACATCCCTTAAATGTCGTGAGGCATTTGAATCCACCAATGTATTTATGTTAAAATCACCGGTAATAATAAATTTATAGCTCGCGAATTTTTTCAATAACTCATGCATTATTGCTTCTAATCTCGTTAAGAATGAATGAGCATGCCTATTACTAGAGGTGTATACACATAAAACTATTAATTTGTGTTCAGGAATGTTTACCCCACAACACTCAAACACTCCAGCAATTAAAAACCTATCGAAGGACATTATTTCCTTACAAATTAAATCTTTCCGAGCAAAAATACAAGTACCACCGCGTTTTTTCTCCCTTGAATAATTTGCAACTAATTTAAAATTGGGGAGGTTGGCATTCTTTTTATCATTTTTTTGTAAAAAAGATTCAGAAAAACAAATAACGTCAATCTCTATATTAGAATCACGCAACACGGAGACAGTTACTTCTATAATATCTCTTTTAGAGAGCAAACCGGCAATGTTTTGGTGTAACACTTTAAAACCTTTTATAAATTTTTCTGGCGTGTAGTGATCACCAGTCACATTTTTGTTAGAAGACACGAAAAAGATTACAATCCAGTTTTTTGTTATCCTTTTGTATAGGACAAAAATATTCGAGTATAGTAGATTGTCTATATGCATCACGATCACTACGATCACTAGATAATTGATAATTTATATTTTAACAATGGTTTTTTTTCTGTTTACAATTACTACTACGTATATGTTCTCTAATGAATGAATAATTCAAAAATGTTTTCTCATAATGCATATAGTCTATCAACTGATTGATCTTATAACAAATATTTCTTAAAGGATGATTATAATAACAATATTCAGTGCTAAGATAATGACAATTTTTAAACTTTTTATATATTATTTGTAGTTGCTTGTTATATAATTTAGTGTTTAAGTGCTTACTATCTAATATACTCATTACAATAATAGTGGTACGCTGTAATGATTTTAGTACATTATACAATTCTGAAATAGATACAATAGAGTCACTATCATTTTCACCTACACAGATTATCACCTTATCGTTTATGTTTGTCTCTAGATTAGTACATGTTTTTAAAATTTCTTCCGTGGGAGCGAATGGTTTAATAAATGCTGAAATTTGGTAGTCTTCATGAATTTTGTTATATCTAGTTTTCTTCAATTCCACTGCCAAACCTGCACATTGTTGCGTTCCTACTATGAATATATTCTTTTTAATAGATTGATGTTTATCTATCTCTATTGTGTTCATTGAGGTTTCAGGATATTTAGTATGTTTTTTATCTTCTTGAGCAAGGTTTTTTTCAAGCTGTTTTATTTGAATTTCTAGTTTAATTACATCATCTTTTGCTTTCTTCAAGTTTCGTTCCGATTCGTCAATTTTTTTTTGTAAGCGAATTATAAGGTCACAGTCATTTTCCCCAGAATCATTTGTGTTGATAATCGAGCATGATATACGCCTCGGCATCTGACCTGTCAAGGGAGTGAATGTATGCGCGCTCTTAATTCCCGAAGTCCCACCCTTCTTCTTAGCTATTGGTGTTCGACAAATGTTTTTTAGTGTTTCTATTTCCTTATTTAATTTGTTTATTTCTCTTTTAAATTCATTGTTTTCTATTATCGTATTTTCCAACTCTGTTTGTGTACTTAAGAGATTTGTTTTTAGTTCATATATTTCATCTTTCATGTCCTGTATATCGCATATTTTAATTGCTGAATAATCTACACTTTTAGACATAGTTTCCGTAGACGTGTCTTCATATGTTTCTTCATCGTCAATGCTACAGGATCCAAATAGTGGAGATGACTGAGCCGATGACGTCACCATTGACTTAGTTATAGGCGAAGGTGAAACGGTTGGTTTTGTAGCTGTTTTTTTACGCAGAGTAATATTTTTATCTGTTTCTTTTTGCATAGGAAGTTTGTTAGGTATTGGTCCTTTATGTTTATTATTGATCATAGAACAAGAAGTACACTTCCAGGTCAATCTTTTTTTGGGTTCCATTAATCTATATAGTTTTTCTGATAGACCCATACAATCAAAATCGTAATTTCTTTTACAACGTGAGCATAGAATAGTATCTTTCACATCCTTTCTATTTTTACATTTTTCGCATACAACAATCTGTCGCTCTTTTTTTGTATTTTCCATTTTCAATCGAATATAATAATTTAAGTCTGTTAAGGTTTGTGAATGCAAGTTACGAAATATCAACTCAAAAAAACTGGATGCTTTCCTGCTCAGGATCGAACACATGCATTTAAAGTTTCATACGACAGTCTGATCCCTTACACCAGCAAGTCTTATACTACAGCTCCGAATAAGTGGTTCTAATTCATTTACTGGGCGTACAGCTTCCAGTTAGCCCACTAGGTGTCACTGATTTGTCAATGTATAATTAGAAGTTCACTGATGTTTCACTAGATGTCGCTTGTTTCTGCGTATTTAACTTACTACGTCTTGATTAGTGATTGGTATAGTGCTGTAATTGTTTCATAGATGTCACTAATTATATTGATTTATTGAGGAATATGTGTCGATCAATTTATTTGATTATCTTCATATACTTAAAAATATATTGACACTTTTCAACTTCAAAATTTCAGGATCACTAAAGTTTTATATAGAATAACATTAAATAATGATACATTGACAATTTTTTTTTTATGTAACGGTTTTCAAAGATTGTAATTTAAAATTTTTATCACTTTCTGTTGATTTTGTATAAATAACACAGTTTCTTCAGTTTTGCTATGTTATAATCTTCGTAATTTTCATTTTCTACTATTAGTCACTATTATTATCACTTTGTTAATCGTCCAATAATAATTTCAATGTTTTTTTTTTGTTTTTTTTGTCACTGTCCTGTGTTTTTTCCTTGGAATAACATTTTCTCTCAATATTTAGGCACCAAGTAAGACGTAAATACACATAAGATCACAATTTCTTCACTTAATTATTTTTACTTAATTTTTATAACGGAGCTCAATCTTATCGTGGCAAATAGCGCCATCTAACGTATAAATTATTTCTCATTCTTTGAGATCAAACTCGAACAACTTGCCCCCACTTACAGTCATATAATTGTCATGGGTGATTTTAATACCTGCCTTCTAAAATCTGATTCCCGGTCGGCATCACTTCGCCGCGTTTTACAATCTTGCAATTTATTTACTCTACCTTTAAACGCCACTCATAGATTTCCTAACTGCTCCCCTTCACTTCTAGATCTTATTATTGTCTCTTCCCCAGAAAACGTTGCACGCCATGGACAATTTTCAGCTGATAATTTCTCATACCACGATTTAATTTTCCTCTCGTATAAAGTACGCCCTCCAAAATTTAAACCTAAAGTAATATTGCAACGTAATTTTAGTGGTATAAATCTCGATAAACTCCGTGAGGATGGCCGTCAAAGTGGATTGGACTCAGCTATTTGACAGCGGGTCCGTGGATGAAATGGTTGATCTTCTTGCTTAGAATCTTACCCGTTTATATGATGTCCATGCTCCGATTCAAGCAGTTAAAATGAGACATCATCCTTCACCGTGGCTTACTGAAGAAATCAAACAACTATCTGCCAAGAAAGCTGCTGCCAAAGCCAAATATAAGCATCGTCCTTCTAACTCTAACTGGAACAAATATGTCAACATTCGAAATCACTGCAATAAGGTGTGTAGAACTGCTCAACGCCAATTTATTCACAAATCGGTTGATAACGGTGACCCAGCCAAAGTCTGGAGATTTCTCAGATCTATGGGGATTGGTAAACAACGTCTAGAATCTTCAAATTTAGATATAAATCTGATAAATCAATAATTTTCTACTTCTTATTACTTCGATCCGGCTATTAAGTCGAATACGTTAAATAATCTTTTATCGCTACCAAGCCCCGACTATTTGCCTTTCATCGTGCGTCGATTCTCCGATTGTGATGTTAAGAAGAGCGTTATGTCCATAGGTTCCAATGCAGTGAGAAGTGACTGCATTAGTCGTAAGATGATTCTGCCCATCCTAGATGAAATTCTCCTTGTTATTACTCACATCTTTAACCATTCAGTCAACACTGGTGTATTTCCCACGGCTTGGAAAAATGCCCAGATTACTCCTCTTCTTAAAAAATCCAACCCTTCTTCCTTTTCTGAATACAGGCCCATATCCATTTTACCCTTCCTTTCTAAAGCCCTCGAACGTCTTTTGTACAACCAGCTGTCCATTTTCCTGCACAAGAATAAACTCCTAAACCCTTTTCAATCAGGTTTTCGTCCAGGTCATAGTACTACTACGGCTTTGGTACATATCACAGACGACATTAGACTGGGCATGGAGAAAGGGAAACTAACAGTTCTCTCCCTACTAGATTTTAGCAACGCATTCAATATTGTCGACTTCGATATTCTGCTTGACATGCTGCGCTCTATTAACATATCTCCAACGGTGATTGACTGGTTTCGTAGTTACCTGATTGGTCGCCGTCAACGTGTCTGCATTGAGGATTCTTTTTCCTCCTGGTACGACAGTTGTGCTGGTGTACCACAGGGTGGCGTCTTATCTCCTTGACTATTTGCCATATTTATTAATTCTGTCTCCAATAAACTTCTTTCATCATACCACCTTTATGCAGATGACTTACAAATTTATTCCCAAGCTTCTCTGGATAATTTGGCTTCGGCAGTTGATAATATAAACTCAGATTTAGCTTTAATCAGTGATTAGAGTGTGTATTATGATTTAAAAATAAATCCTTTAAAAACACAGGCAATTGTGGTGGGTGGCCCTAGTTTGGTATCTAAAATTCAACGGTCGCAATTACCTTCTATTACATTCGGCGGTGTGAGATTATCATATAGTGACTGTGTTAAAAATCTGAGAGTGCTTCTTGACAAAGATCTATCCTGGGTACCACATATTCAGCAAACTGTTTGCTTCGGCGACATCCTTAAGGAGACTTAGGAATTTTTTACCATTTGCTACTAAAATCACGCTAGCGCAGTCTCTCCTCTTAGCAATTTTAGATTATGCCAACGTCAGCTATCTTGATCTCACTGAAGAGCAACTAAATAAACTTGAGCGACTTCAGAACTTCGCAATAAGATTCATATTTGGATTACGTAAATATGATCATGTATCAAAATATCGTCAAGAGCTCAAATGGTTGCCTATTCGACTTCGTCGGAATGCTCACATAGTTTCTTTGTTATATAATGTCCTATATAATCCTGTTTCCCCTGCTTATCTTAAAAAGCGTTTCCAATTTCTTTGTAACACCCACTCCCGTCTCTTGAGATAATCGGACAACCCGAGACTCGCGATGCCTATGCATTCATCTAGAGTGTTTGACAGGTCCTTTACTGTACACGCCGCTCGTCTGTGGAACGAGCTGCCGGATGCTGCGAGCTCAGTCTTTAAATATTTTTATAAATTTAATTACAGAATACTATCTCTCACGTGCTGTACATCCAAATAATATTTATTGTAGATAATGTTAAATTTCTGCAAGTTTTGTGTGTGTGTGTGTGTGTGTGTGCGTGCGTGCGTGTGTGTGTGTGTGTGTGTGTGTGCGTGTGTGTGTGTGTGTGCGTGTGTGTGTGTGTATGTGTGTGAATTAATTGCATTATATATTCATATGTATAAAGTATACTTTGCTCAAATGCACTACCCTAAATTGTTATCTCTATCTAATTTCCTTTCTGCGGTTGCCTGGAAGAGATCTCTTTGAAGCGATAAGGCCGCCATTTGCTTCGCTATCTTTGTGTATCTTCTATGTTTTCCTCTGTTGTGCAATAAAGTGTATTATTATTATTAAAAAACTGAAACTAATAAAAATAAATAGATGGCTCGGAAACACTAATAAAAGCATACAATTACACGGGTTCTGCGATGCAAGCGAAAAGGCATACGCTTGCGTCATATATAGCCGTGTCATTGACGAATACGACGTCATAAATTGACGTTATTAGCTGCGAGAACGAAAGTCGTACCCACAGGTCGTACCCTTACTTCAAAAAACATCGCTTCCACGACTGGAATTATGCGGAGCACTACTACTAACTCAACTAATTAACAAGATTAAAAACTCGCTACCGAGTCATGACATCACTGTCTTCGCATGGTGTGACTCTAAAGTGATACTGGCATGGTTACAAGGGAACACGAATAAGTGGGAACGTTATGTAGCTAACCGAGTAGAAAAAATAACTTTTATAGTGCCTTCACAACGATGGTTTTATGTAAATACTGAAGAGAACCCAGCCGACTGCGCTTCGAGAGGCTTATTACCGAGCAAGATGATAGATTTTAAGTTATGGTGGAATGGACCAAACTTCATAAAAAACCTCACCGATCAAAATCTAGAAAAAAATATCAGCTGTGTCTATACTATTCTTATACAAGAACAACAAGCAGAAACTACTCAAACAAAAGAAAGACAAACCGACTTAAGAAATGAAAATTTTATAGAAATATTATTTAATAATAAAAGTTCATTGACTCAAATACACAGAATTGTAGCATAGGTCCACAGAAATATATCTAGTTAGAAGGAAAAAGTGTACGTACTTCGCGTGCCGAAACGACGTCTAGACAGCTCCATTGCTCGCCGCGAGGCTCAGTCCACTTTCGATCGCAATCGGTGTTGGACGAAATTTAAAATGACGCGTTGTTCGATAATTACCTGCTCAAACACCACCAATATGGTTGGATCTTATAGTCGAGGTATTTCCTTCCATCGGTAAGTAACTATTTGCCTTGATATATCGCTCATTTGCGACAAGAACGTGACAAAGTAAAAATCTCAATTTGTGATAAAACGCTCTTGAAAGTTTCAAATTCCTGTAACTTTTTAATTATTTTGTTAAGCCTGTTCAGCTCAATACAACATAACTTCAAGGTTTTCGGTTTTTGGATCAAATTGCATTCAGACCTTTAAGTTAGTTATTAAATTTATTATGATTATTTATTTAAAAAAGGATCCTCCTTGTTGCGTTATTCTTGTAAAAATAATCCAGTATTGCAGAACAAACAGATATGTACCGATTTTCATGAAAAAAAAAATGGATTTAAATCTAAACCTTTACAAGTTATGTCGTATTGTTACGTTTTTATTGATAATTTCTAATATAAAGGCATGGAACATTTTTATAAAGACATGTTATTGTCGTAGAAATCTCTTTATTTTTGTATTCTGTTTTACAAAATGAGAGATATTTTAGCGAAGTTATTGTGTAACTTTCGCTGAAATACAAGTAATAATCAAAGTCAAAGTCAAAATAATCTTTATTCAAATAGACTT